GGGCGGAACCAATTAAGCATTCTTCCCCAGACCCTTCCCCCTTTTCCCTCCCTATTTAACTCAGGTCTGCCCTGAGTTTCATGGTGGGTACATCCAGATCCATCTACCATCTGCCATGAAAATAAATCCTTTCGGAACCATGGACTTTCTCATGTCTTTGGGGCCTGCCGTGGGAAAACGTGGAGAAGGCCTTTAATGCCAAGCCACCACAGCCACTGTGCCTAACTTCCCGCATGGAGGACCTCTCTGTTCCAGCCATGGGGACCCAAATCTTCAAGCAAGCTAGCCGGGCTGCCAAGTCTGCTAAGAGAGTACAGTAACCGAGTCTCTCCCACAGGGAGCTGCTAGGGCCTCTTTATTCTCTCCCCTTCCTTTCTCTTGGCTGTGGGTTGGCTGGTCACGTGCCCACATGCTTCCAGTCTTGGTCCTTCTGCGGCCTCTCAGCGGTCTGAGAGCCCAAGGGCTTGAGACCAGTCGGTCCCTGACCACCTCCTGGCCCGGGGATCCCCAATCCAAGAGCTCTGTGCCTCTGCGGAACTACCAGACTGAGTGAGAACTCCCCATGCTGGGCGGAGCCCCATAGTGCCTGCCCAGTGTTATGCACAGAGTGAACTCAGTCAAGATTCCCACATTCCAGTCTCTATGAAGCCATGGGAATCACAACAGCCCAACAAGATTCAAGAACCCATGGCCACGCCCACGTGTGAGCTAGTCATTTCCCCTCATCTTTCCACCATGTTTGCCACTGTAACTGAGGACCAGCTTCCAATATTGCTGTTGTCAAATCTTTCCAGCCTTGGGGGATAATTTTGTTCTAAGTTGCCCATGAATTTAATCTGCTTCACACAGTATGAATGCATATTTTAGGAAACAACTGCTTCCTTAAATCTCCTCAAATCTAATTAGTTTATAGGATCCCATTTAACCTTGGGTGGAGACTATCATCTGCTGTTAGTTCCTGTATAGTAACCGGATAAACTAAGGTTAGTTTTCTAACAACCTTGGGTTGCCCCTCTTCAATTTTGTCTGACGTGGCGTGCTAGGTTCTTGTCTAAATTCCTCTGTATCTTTGAGTATTTGTCTTATGTTCATCTGTAAGTCTTTCTAAGGCTTGTATCTTATCAATCCAATTTTCATAGTTGGCACGATTATCAAACCACTTTTTATATTTGACACAAATAACTACTATGACTATTAAGGATAAAATATGAATTACCAGACTAATAGTTAACTATTATTGGTATTATGTCAATCTCAATTAAGTCATTTATCCTTTTATTTACTGCTTCTACTTTCAAGGCATGAAAAGCAGCACTATACAAGACCCTATACCCTTTATTATATTTCCCATCCTTAAAGTGGGACAGATTTTTCTCTTGTTACTTAACTTGTTCTTTGAGGGCTTCCCAGGTGTCTTATCAAATCAGATGGCTTCTCAGTTTGTCTGCAGCTGGCATGATTTCTCTGTCCATGTGGTTGTGCCATACGTTGGGAGTGCCAAATGTTTTTTTAAACAAAATCTCAATTGTTCAATTTTACCAATGAACACTTGAGAGCCAGATGTTGGGATGAAAGACTGCTAGCTCAGAAAGGCAGAGAAAACACCCAGCTGACCTTCCTCCTCAGCTGATGTCCCAGAAAAACTTTAAACTCAATCTCCCTCCTTTCTACTTCCTGTTTGTCATCTCCCGACTCCCTTTTACTGTTTTTTGTTTTCATAATAATCCTATATTCACTTCCTGTCAACTGGTTTCTTTCTCTGCCTCTTGATCTTTGGTTGACTTTATTTAATCCTGTTTACAATATTGAAGCAGAAACCTCTTGGATTAAAGGTTTGTGCTAAGTCTGAACCACACCACAACTGAAAGCAAGTTTTTCTAGTAAATAACACAATCTCAGGGTTTAGTGTTCAGAAAAAAACAATTTGTTTTCTAGTTCCATTAATAGGTGGTTGATCTGGCTTAACTTTTTCTTCTATCTAAAAGCCTTTTGGGGCATTATTTTTATTCCTGGGGCTGTTGCCCAGTCTGTTTAATGACTGGCCTCGAGTCATCTTCCTGTCTCAGCACCTGATAAACTACAAGTGTGTACCTGTTTTGTTTAGTGAAAATCTTTTCTCATTCACTTTTCCAGGAGGTTGGGGTATCCTTACTGTCTAGAAATGAAACTATTTTTTGGTTTTTCGAGACAGGGTTTCTCTGTGTAGCCTTGGCTGTCCTGGAGCTCACTCTGTAGACCAGGCTGGCCTCGAACTCAGAGATCCTCCTGCCTCTGCCTCCCAAGTGCTGGGATCAAAGGCTTGCGCTACCACTGCCCGGCAGAACAATTTCTTGAATGGTTAATATTTTGTCTTTTTTTTTCCCCCTTGTTCTCTGCAGTTTTGTTGGACCCTCTAGATTGAATTTGTATCCTTATTGCCTCTAATTTCACTTTATTACAAGATTCTCTGTTATTACAACCTTTCTAGCTACTTACTTATTCAATATATCAGATTTTACCTATCCAATATATTGTTATTTATCCATGCTCAGAGAGAATAAAACCAGGCACACCAGGCTGGGGTACTCTATACTCCAACTCTCCCCTTTATGACATTTTCTTTATGGACACAGTGTTTTCCCTTTTGAGTTGCATAATCCTATCCTACTTTACCAGAGATTCTTTGATTTTGTGTATTTTGCTCTTGGCTTTTTATATTGGAGGATTCTTCTGTTTGGATCTCTGCTTCTGCTGCATGTAAGGAAGTTTATGTACAAGAGTTACTAATAAGTAAAATTTCACTGTAGGATGATAAAGGGGCAAAGTCTTCCTGTGGGAGGCTCAAGAAAAGGAAAAATGTCAACATTCAAAGACTATCCTTTGCTGGGCAGTGGTGGCTCCCAGCACTTGGGAGGCAGAGGCAGGTGGATTTCTGAGTTCCAGGCCAGCCTGGTCTACAGAGTGAATTCCAGGACAGCCAGGGCTACACAGAGAAACCCTGTTATCAAAAAACCAAAACCAAAACCAAAACCAAACCAAACCAAACAAAAACAAACAAAAAGCCATCCTTCTTTCCTTAAAGTTGTTTTGGATTAGGGGGTCAAGCAACTGGTGGCCATGATGTTCCAAAACAAGTGTTTTCCTTTACATTTAAGTCAATATCCACCCTTACATATCTGAATGAATCCAGAGGCTTTGATAGGTTGGCATCTCCTGGGACTTTCATCATGCCAGAACCCACAAGCTCTGTCAGTTTGGAAACTTGTGACTTTTCCTGAGACAAGGTGTCATATAGCCTAGACTGACCTTAAACTAGCTGTATGACCGAGGATGTTTGTAAGCTGCTGGCCTTCCTGCCTTCAGTTTAAGTGCTTCTTTACTGAAGTGACATTTCTTAGTAGACATTATACACAGATCTCAGGGTTACAGACATGGTTCATGCTACGTTTCTCATGACCTTCTTGAACATGTTCTCTGGTAATTTCCTCCCTACTATTAATCAAAGACTCAACTGCCTGTTTCTTGCAGAGAGAAGGCTTATCACCTGGCTGGCTTCGCGAGGGGCAATGGTATGTGTATGCAGGAACTTGTTCCTAAGTGGACTTCTGTGTGATATCCTCTCTGTATCTCTAGTCCTTTATCTTCTGAGGCCCTAGACCTTCCACTGGCTTACTTCTTACTAATAACAGTCTATACCAGCAACAAGATCACCTAAGTCACCTTTTACTACTCTATTGATTTTTTCTTTTTTTTTTTTTTTTTTTTGGTTTTTCGAGACAGGGTTTCTCTGTGTAGCCCTGGCTGTCCTGGAACTCACTCTGTAGACCAGGCTGGCCTCGAACTCAGAAATCTGCCTGCCTCTGCCTCCCAAGTGCTGGGATTAAAGGCGTGCGCCACCACCGCCCGGCTTTGATTTCTCTTTAGATTTCTCATGTGAATATATGTTTTGCTCACATGCATGTTTGTGTATCATGTGCTTCCTGGAACTGGAGTTATGCTCCAGTGTTGGGAATTGAACCTAGGTCCTCTGTAAGAACAAATGCTGTTAACTGCTGAGCCCTTACTATTCTTTTTGTTTGTTTGTTTTTGTTTTTTGAGACAGGGTTTCTCTGTGTAGCCCTGGCTGTCCTGGAACTCAACTATCCTATTTTTAATTTTTCAAAATATTGACGTTTACTTCTTGTTTTCCTTACAGACTCATACACTTTCCTGTGATCCCTTCACAGGCACTTTCCCATGTAGAACTGGGCATCTCTGCTCTGATGGGCTGTTAACCCTTCTTCCCCTCTAAGCCAGTTTAGCATCACAATTCGGTAAAGCCTTCTCTATTACCCTTCCTAGAAAGGTCCTTTCTTTAGAAGTTCTGTCATTTCTGATTTGTGTCACTATCTGGAATGGTCAGAGACGTCTCATAGTTTTTTAATTGTCCCATTAGGTACAGGCAATCATCACTGTATGCTCTTCAGGCATTAGATCCTGTATCTGACCAGGGTCTCCCATAGCCTAGGCCAGCCTGGAATCCTTAAACTTCTTACTTCTACTTTCTGAGTGCTAACTAGTATATCCCAAGATTTTTGTTTTTCCTTTTCAAAAATTCACCGGTAGGTACCTCAAGTCGAGATCAGTTCTCCTGCCCCCTACCCCCTTTTTTAGCTTATTCCTTCCCACTCAACTGAAACAAAGGCACTTATGTTGTCTATGATGTCATGTGTGTGATGTACTTTGGTACTACCGTGACATTAACTATAGGCATGTCAAAGAGAAACTTACTGACTCACTCTATATGAGGGCAACACAGACCTGACAAAAGGGAAGAGCTGAGTTATGGGAGCTGTGCAGCACAGGCCAGGAGCAAATTCTGACTCTGTACACATCTCATCGGAAAGTGTGCTTCAGGGGTTGGGAGCCAAGGTGAGAGAACACGGCACAGGGACTGTGCAGCATGTCCACTCCTGGCTTTGGGTTTCATCTGCTCTCCAGGCAGTGCCCACCTCACTGAGACACAGGACCACAGGACGAAGTTCTCTAAGGTTAAAGTTCTTAGTTACGCCCTGCAAGATTCATAACATCTCAGAACATTTCTTTAGCCACCTCTCCTCTGTCTCCCACCCATACACAGAGGGTTTCTCTGTGTAGCCCCCACTGTTTAGAAAGTCTTATAGACCAGGCCCTGAACTCACAGAGATCTGCCTACCTCTGCCTCCTGGGTACTGAGATTAAAGGTGTGTACTAGCACAGCAGGTGGATTTCCTTATCCTTTAAGATGAATGTGACCTAGTGTCTGACAGAAGCAGAAGTGGGTCAACTGGAAAAGGCAAGAGGAGTAGCAGATGGCTTCAAGTATGCCTGGCACCATCACTCTCGGGTGACCTGAAGAATGTTCAGACCAGGAAAAGCTATGGAAATAGGCTCTGGTGTTCCACTGCATGGTCACAGACTGGTCTATGGGGCTTGGGAAGGCAGCTCAGCCAGCCATTCATGTCCCAAGAGCCAGGAGAATGGAAAAAAATTAGGTAGCATAGCACCACCTTGTGGCCACCTTAACCCTTCTCCCTCCCCTCCAGGTGTTGGCTAAAAGCAGCTAAGTGAGTGCACATACTTTCTTACCTGGCTGATCATGAGGAGATCCTGAAGCCCAATTCACTCTTCTTTGTAATGTTAACAAATGCAAACAAGAGAGGACCAGCTGCTCTTTACTGTTCCCTGAGGGAAAGCTGGAACACACAGTGCTTCCTCTGGCCAACCCCCAATTGCAGAGTCTGTCTAGATTTCCCCTAGTTCAGTCTAACTTCCCTCATCCTAACTTCAGTTAGGACGAACAGCACATCATTGCCAGCAGGAGGAAGAATACTGTAGTTGCAACTTCCTTTCCATTAATTCTCAGTCTGTAGCTAGCTTTCTTGCTCTGCCCCCTCTTAGGAGCACAGCCAATGAGATGCATGGATCTGGCAGTCAACATCAGGCAGTCAACATCAGTCATCTTCCGACGACTCCTCTTCTGCCTCTTTCAGCCACTGGATGAACCTCTGCAGCTGCAAGGAAGCAGAGGGGACAGCTGCTAGGGGAGGAAGAAACATGCATTCCCACTGTTCTTATTAGCAGACAAACAGTTCTGGCCACAGAGTCCCTAGAGTTTAGAATGGAGGACTAGGGTATCCAGGGAGCAGAGGTAGTGTACCTGTTGATTCTTACGCAACTGCTGGCCTTTGTCAGTTATGTCTCTTTGGCTGAACCAGCTCAAGATTGTTTCCTCAGCCAAGATCTCTAGCTGGTAGAAACCCATCAGGACCTACAGAGTCAGCAAAAGGGAGTCTCAGGATCTCTCTCTCTAGCAAGGATATAAGAGTATGATGGATAATATAAGAGAAGACCTTAGCATCTCTACCAGGCTCTCAGCTTCCTACCACATTATTAAGAAGGCTCTTCAAAACAGACAAGAGAGTAGGCACAGAGGTACATGCCTGTAATTCTAGTACTTGGGAGGTGGAGTCGGAGGCTCAGGAATCCAATCTGACTACCTAACAAGTTTAGGGCCAGTTTGGGGAAAAAACAAAAAACCAAACATATGCCAAAAGCCATATCATATCATCACTGTTCACTCAAAACAAAGACACGAGTGGACCTCTCTTTGCGGTACTGGGAACTCACGACTCATGGACCTCCTGCTGAGTGTCTGCTTAGCATCCTCAGGTTGCCCCCCCCCACCCCCCAAGGACAGATGGTGCAGTGAACACTCTATGCTAGGCTTGAGTTAGCCTTGTTTTCTCTCTGTGGGGGTCATGAAGGCCTGTTTCAAGGATACGAAGCTTGAGATGGTATTCACCTTGGCCATGGAAGTAACAAGAGTTTCATGGTCCAAGAAGAAGTCCTCAATGGCTGCCAATGCTTCCAAATGGTCAGCTGCACGCTTTATGTAGTTCCTGAAAACAGGGCTCCAGGCTTTGAGCAGCTATGGGAAAGAAAAGGGGGGTGGTGATGGTGGAAATGTATCACACTCCTTATCATCCCCCCACAGCTGAACAACAAAGGCAATCAATATTGATGACATGGCAGGACAAGAGGGAGAGGATATAGGCAGTATGGATCATTTGGGAACTGTTCCTACACAAGGCTGGGGAAAAGATGACATTTCTCAGGGAAGGGAGAAGAGGTCAGATAGACTCTCAAAATTCCTAGCCCCGACCTCGAGGTTAACCTTGCTCTAGGTCTAACCACTGTGGGCTCTGTATCACCAGATCTGTTCTTCATATTGTTTTATTAGACTATTTGGTCTTTGAGATAGAATTTTGCTATGTCATCTGTCTGGTCTCAAAGTCCTGGGCTCCAGTAACTCTTTTGCCTCAACTTCTTGGGAGAGGTGGACTACAGATATGTTCCCAGTACTGTGTCTGGACGTCCTTTTGGGGGCCTGGAATGCTCTCACTCTGTACTCTCAAAGAACATTCAGTATTAAATATGACTGGACTCTGGACCACTTAGTGCTCCTCTAGAAACCAACCACCTTTCAAAGACAAGGAGAAAAGACCCAGAAGAAACATACACCCAAGAGTAAGCCTTCCTACTCCTATCGTCTTTTAAGACAAGCACTACAAGGAAGGTTAGCTGTCTCCACTCAATCCCTCACATGCAGCCTGTCTTTGCTTACAGGAAGCAGCAGGGCACAGTAGCGGTTTGGGTCAAGCAGGCCATCTACTTGTTGCAGGGGGAACTCCAGGACTACACGGCTCAGGACCTGCATCACTTCCTTTAGGCTAATGTTGTAGGCATACCTGTGGGGAGATGAGTGTGAATTATGGCTAATATTGATGGTCCATTTGACAGGATCTAAAGATCACCCTAGTAGACAAATCTCTGGACACAGGTGTGAAGTTTCCAATTGGGTTGAGGTGGGAAGACCCATCCTGGGTGTCACTGAGGTGTGGGTGTCACTGTTCTCTGGGCTGGGGTCCCAAGCTGAAAAAAGCCAGGAGGAGCTGAGCACCACTCATTTCCGCTGCTTCACTGCAGATGATCAGCTCCTGCCACCGTGAACTGTATCCTTGTACTGCGGGGCAAGATCAACCACTCCTTCCTTGAGTTGCTGATTGCAGTCATTTTGCTACAGCAGAAGTAGCTGATACAGCATGGCTCCAGGGGTTCAGTGCTCTAAGACTAGGACTGTGACCGCACACTAGAGGAGAGGAAATCTACGAGGAGGCTGGGTGCTAATGTTCTCCTTGCTCCAAACACTCCTAGCCTTCTATCCAGGCTCCTCCTCGGGCAGCAATGTTTGGGAAGGAAGGTCTGCTCCTGCAGCAGCAGAGGGGAGTAAGCAGGAGGAAGCAGGAAGGACTGGTCTTACTTGAGAGAGTTAATCTCCAGGACTAGATTGTCACAGGAGATGTTCTCCTCTCTGCCCCGCTGTAGCGTTCCCAGGACCTCGTTCTGGAAAACTGAAAGGAAAGAGCAAACTCAGGGTTCCAGAATGCTTTGCTCTAAGGCTCTAGTTCTGACTTTACACCAAAGCCTTTCTGGGAGGAACTGAGCTAGCTGACACAAGTAGAGAACAGACTTCCCCACTTTGTTCACACCTCGGATGTCATCCAGCTGAGGGGAGCCTGCTCGGCTGTCCAGCTCCTCAGGATCCACACTGCGCTCACTTTCAGTCTCACTTTCTTCCTCCATATTGATCGTGAGTCCTAGAAACATAGAAAGGAAGAGCCAGTGATTCGGCTCAGTGGGCAAGGCGTGTGACTGGCATGTACAGAGGCCTGGCTTTGATCTTCACCACCACACAAAACTGGGTATGCTGTGCACGCCTATACAGGTCTCCCCACCAAGGGAATGGACGCAAGAGCATCCGGACGCTCCAGGTCACTCTCAGCTATGAGGCCAGCCCAAGGCCAGGGCAGGCTACATCGATTTAAAGGGGAGTGGGGAAGAGGAGGAGATTGGTGCGGGAGCTCGGCTGTAAAGGCACTTGCTACCAGTCTTTGGGACCACATGGTGGAAGGAGAGCACCAGCTCCAGCAAGCTGTCTTCTCACCTCTACTTCCCAAATACATAGACACACACACACAAACACACAGTTTCAACAAAAAGATACTGACAGCTAGCAATGTGTCCTGTCAATATGAATTGAAGGTTCAATAATAATTGGATTCCAAGGCATTCAAAGTTCTTAAGAATATTCAGAGTAAGTAGAAGACAGGCAGGTGTAAGGTCTCGCTCACCCCAGAGACTCTGTCGTAGCTCCTCATCTTCCTCCGTGTTCACATCCTCCGCTTTCCAGAGGTATCCCTGGCCTTCAAGGCCAACTTCTGCTGGATTGTAACCTGGAAAAGGCATTGACCTTTGAGAAGGCTCAGCAGTAGCCTTCATCTCTCTGGAAGGAAACATGCTTTTCTACAGGGCAGTGAGATGCACGGATGCCCCACACCTGTTGAGCCTCACACCTTTCAGCTTCACTTTCTCCTTTTCTTGGTCAGCTCCAGAATCATCACTAAACTGGCCATCATCTTCATCTTCCTCTGCATCTGGAGGGTGCAAAGAGATCACCGAGCCCTCAGGCAGCGTGATATCTGGGCCCACTACCACCTGAGAGAGAACAAAAGAAAGAGATCACCGAGCCCTCAGGCAGCATGGTGTGGTGGTGGTGGGGGGGCACTACCATCTGAGAGAGAACAAAAGAACCAAGTAGCACAGACTTACTAGTGCACTGAGGAGGGCTGCATGTTGACAACCAGAACTATGCTTTTTGTTTTGTTCTGGTTTTATACTAAGCTAAGCAGAAGGTCAAAGAAACTTGGGCGCTCACTGCAGGTTTATTTATGGGGGAGAAATATGGTCCCTTCAGACTTGGCACAATCACTATTCAATTCAGGGGCTGTGTACAGCCGGGACAAGCCTTACCTGGGAAGTGAGGACACAATGTGGCTTCAGCTTGACTCGCTCCTTGACCTCAGCTCTGTCACAGAGCAGAGACTGGTGTACTTCTGCTCCAGCAGCCACTCGAACTCCCTGCCACAGGTAGGCCTGGTCCAGTACCACATTATCACCTGGCTCAGAATGAGGAGGACTTCCAGTCACTCAGGGCTCCACATCTGAACTAGAGTCCTTCACAGAGGACAAGACTGACTGACACCAGCCCCAGCCCAGCTCCCTCTTAGCTGATACTCTACCTGCCAACATTAGAAACATCCAGTCCCTTCCAAGGTCAGTCCCAAGAACAAACTGACCATCCTCTACTAAGTTTACAATAATTTTAAACTGTATGTATGTATGTATGTATGTATGTATGTATGTATATATATATGTATGGCTTAATCTGAGAACCCTAAGGATTTCTCAGAATGAACTATAAACCTTATTAGTCATGTTTATACCTGCAAGGAGAATGCAATGACTCCACCTCACTGGGTATCACAGAATCTGAATCCTACTGTTGTCCTTTTCAAGGTCTACTACTATTACTAGTCTCATATTCTTCAACCAAAGTAAGTTGTCAAGAGGAATATCAAGGTTATGGGAGAGTAAAAAGAACATGGAGACAGCTGGAGTGATGGCTCATTAGTTAAGAGCACTGGCTGCCCTTCCAAAGGATGCATCAATTCCCAGTACCCACATGGCAGCTTATAACTGTCTGTAGGTTCAGTTCCAGGGGATCCAGCATCCCCACACAGACATGCAGCCAGAACACCAATGTACACAAAACAATAATAAATACATTATTAAAAAAAAAAAAAAAAAGGACACAGAGAGCCAACAAGCAGCATTTAGGTGCCAGCACTGCCTTACGTTAGATGTCACGTTACAGGGGCAAAAGAACTAAAACATGCAAAAGCCTTTTGTAAGGTGTAATGACTGAACACACTACCTCTCCACTTGCCTCCAAATGTGAACACAGAAAGGACATTCCAGAATGTGAAGAGTCATCTTAAGAGTCATACACAGGCTAGGCAGAGCTGTGGTGGTGCTTACTTTTAATCCCAGCACTCGGGTGGATCTGTTAGTTCAAGGTCAGCCTGGTCTACAGAGTTTCAGGATAGCAGGACTATATAGAGAAACCCTGTCTCAAAAAAACCAAGCTGGCCACAAAAGCCCTGACTCAATCTATTCCCCAGAGTAGCTGGAATTATACACAACTGTAGTCAACTAACTTACTTTGTCTTGCCCGCCTGCCTTTTTTATTTAAGACAAATTTTGATTTATAGTCCCAGGATGGTCTCAAACTTGTAATCCTCCTACCTCCATCTTCCCAGGTGTTGGGACTGTAAGTGTGGGCAACACTGGGTACAGTGGCTCATGCCTTTAATCCCAGCACTTGGGTCTCTTTGAGTTCAAGGCCAGCTGTTCAAAACCAGACAGACAAACAGAAACATGTGCACCAGCAGGCACAGGGACTCTCCTTTCATTTTCCTCTTACTCCCTCTCCCCAAGATTTTAGTCAATTTAACTTTATGTGTGTGAGTGTTTTGTCTGAATTATGTATGCACACCATGCACATGTTTGGTGCCCAAGGAGGTCAGAAGAGGTCACTGGATCCTCTTGCACGTGAGTTGTGAGCTACCATATGAATACTGGGAACAGAATCTGAGTCTTCTGCAAGAGCAACCCAGGCTGAACCATTTCTCTATCCCTCTGCTCCTTCCTTATGATAGCCACTCTCGTTTCCTACTCATAAGGGTTACCCCTTGGCATCCTCCCAGGCTTCTGGAGACACACTGCAGCCCCATATCTACGGGACTGCTGCTAGGCTCCCCATCTGTGCTCACCAATGTGGCAGTTAGGGCCAATGACACTGTTGGTGATGGAGCAGTTGCTACCAATGACAGTGCCAGCTCCCAGAAGCACGTTTTCCTCCAGGACGCTGCCATGGCCCAGGCTGACTTCAGGCCCTCGGTAGATGTTGTGTCGGGAATGAGTGTAGCTCTGTGTGGTGCTGTCAGTGAAGTTTACTTCTGGAGTGAGAGGATAGACCCATCGGCGGATAACATCAGCACAAATAGCTGAATACATGTGTAGGTTGGAGACTCGGGCACCATATTCCCTAGTTGTCACATGCAAGTGAATCTGGTTTCCTAGGATCTAAATGAGAAATGGCAATTACCTAATCAAGCAAGGCAGGAAGACAATCCCCAAGTACAACACCTTCCAGTGCCTCTCTGCCACTCACTGACACAGTCAAAAGGTCTGAGTTTGCTTTCTCAGGCTTAATGAAACACAAAAGGAAAGCAAAGGTTACCAGAGTAAAAAAACCTTTTCCTCTAGAGGGTTTGGAAGCTTTTCTCACCTCCTCGTTCACTAATAGGCCTCGTACAAAGTCATCTCGAGTTTGGTAGTCAAAATTGTCTGTGAAGAGTTGAGCTACCTGTGGGGAAAAGAGAGCACGCTAAGGCTAAGTACTTTACCAGTAACAAGGCCAGAGAGCTATCCAACACATAATAACTGGCTGTGGGACAAAGTCCTAGATCTGGTTTGCAATATACTGGGGATGAGGTAACTGAACCTCTCTACTGTGCAAGTAAGGAAAAGAGGGGAAAGATGCACACCCTGGCCTTGGAAGAGAGTAATAACTAACAGACCCCTGAGAGGTGTACTCTTTGGGTATGCAGCCCTGTTCTGGAGAGTTCACCTGAGGAGAGCAGATGCTGATGTGACAATCCAACAAATCATATCGAATCTCCACTCCGTCTCGACTGCCCTGGAACAGGCTCTGAGGGAGACATTGAAAAGGCTTTAGTTCATCTCTCTTTTCAAAGTTCCTCCCTCTCCTGAGTTCCTCAGACACCCAGTTACCAAAGGAAATGAAAAACGCCGCAGGCCTTGGGTCTTCTGGAAGTGAAGAATCCTATCTGTGGTGCTGTCCACAGCTATGACCACATTGTCCTCATGGCAGCGTGTGGGGTGGCTGGGGGACGACTCTTTGAAGATCATGGTCATAACAGAGACATTTTTTTCTAGCTTCCTTCTTAACCTATAAAGAACAAGAGGCAGAGTTAGTCTTAGGACTCTGCTGGTCCCTGAGTCTTGTCCCTGCTGTCTTCCCCAGCCTGACCTGTGCTCCTCCAGGGCTCTGGAAATATTGATATTTGAGATGACATCTCCATATATCAGGAGAAAGTCAGAGCGCACCAAGGCTTTGGCATCAACATCACGGAGGACATCTCCTAGTGATCGGTATAGCTCTGATGTGATTATTCGAACAACATTGAGGGATGTAGGATGGCACCACTTGGATTTCCTGTCGGAAAGTGATGAGAGGAACAGTAAATTAAACAGTCGATTACAGACCTGACCTCCAACCTCCATTCAGTGTTTATACTCCTCTGTGGCTTTTCTGGATTCCTGCCAGCGTCCCTGGCTTCAAAGAGACTTATGAAACATAATGAATGCTTTCAGCATCCAGTGTCATTAGTTTTATGTGTTTGAGAAATACGGCCATTTCCTTTCTATACCTTGACTCCTGCCTCAAATATGAGCTTAAATTCAAAATCTTATGAGATCCAGGGTATGAAAGTATTCTGGGAAAACATTTTTTTTTCATGTCATCTTTCTTGTTCTGAGTCTATATCAACTTTAAACATTGTAACATGGAAAACATGTTGAGTATATTAGTCTTTATTTCCCAAACTCATAAATTCCCAGACTAACTCTTCCAAATTTTAACAAGCATCCCTTAAGAACTTACTGTGGGCTTGAAACTAAGATGGGCAGGGGAGAGACAAGGGGGAAGAGCTTGCTCTTGTCGTTGGGGGTCAGAACAGACAGTATTTGAAAATTTGGTGGAAAAATAAAGATGTCCTTCTAATAACATACACTCTGGAGCCATCAAATAAAAAGCAAAATTGATGGGAACAAACTTTGAAAGACTCAGAAAATCACAGGCAAGCCTGTAATTTCTGTCTCTGGAACCTCAAGGCGAAGAAAGTTCCAGCAGCTTACCTCAGGGTTTGTGAGGAAAACACTAAACCTTAGGTGAGCTCAGAACAGGTTCAGTTTTTTCCTCCTCAAGTCTCTACTCTTTCAATCCATTCTGGAAGAACTGGAAAAAGACAGTGAACCATAGAAAGAAAATATTCTAGAGTCTTACTGTAAGTGTTCTTTGATCTGAGCGGCCTTCCAGCAGCAAAAGACAAATGTTTCCTGTACACCTGTGGCAGTCAGGAATTCCAGAGTATAGTCAATTAGTGCAACATTGGCCAGGGGCAAGAGGACCTATAGGGCAGGATATGAAAAATTCTGTGATCTTCAAGCCATGATTATACTTTGAGTACCCAAGTGCAACAATGTTTCTTTCATCAGTGCTTGCAGACATTATAGTTTGTGTTATCCTTTTATTCTAAAGCAAACAAACTCTAAGATTCAGTCTAAGGTACTAGGATTTGAGCCTAATAGGCATGGTATCAGACACAGATATGTTATAGGAGACCAGTGCTGGCATTAAGGACAAATGTTGGCCCTAAGTCATAGCTCTAGAACTCTAAGTACTAAGGCCTTTTCCACATATAATTTCCTTCTAATGACATTAAGAAACACAGAAATCATTCAAACACTTGTCAAAAATGAGGAACCATTAGCCTTAGGAATTTTTTTTTTTTTCGAGACAGGGTTTCTGTGTAGTCCTGGCTGTCCTGGAACTCATTCTGTAGACCAGGCTGGCCTCTAACTCAGAAATCCGCCTGCCTCTGCCTCCCAAGTGCTGGGATTAAAGGCGTGCGCCACCACCGCCCGGCAGCCTTAGGAATTCTTAAGTCAAAGGCAAATCCCTGCTTGAGTGAACTATGGATTGCTGAGTGACCCAATAGTTTGCAAGCCCAATACCAATTTCCTATGTCTAGGTAAATCCGAGGCTGATGGCAACCCACTCGGTTCCCTTTTCAGCAGATAGGAGGAAAACAGCCCGAACCAGGCCGACATCTAGCCATTTTTTCCTTTAGATATATATTACCATCGCCTTTTCTGAAGCAATTTTAAAAAACTGCCCATGTTCTGCAAGATAAAAGGCAGTGGAGGATCCTCTTGCGCTACTAAATCCCCCTGGGAAGGCTTCTTTCAAACATTGATTCTACACACAGCCCTCTCCATCCGTCCCAACGCTGGGCAGACAGCCCTGCGAGAATCCATGTTTTCTAGCTACTCATCTGGTCTGACAGCCATCGGGGTTTCAGTCAGTCCCTCCATCTTGTCCCAACCAGATAAACTCAACTTTAGGGTAGCTTCCAGAGCACGCTTCACTAAACAGTTGCAGTGGCAACCTGCATCCCCGCTACCCTCCAGGCCCGCAGGCTGCTCGCGTGCGGGGTGCTTACCCGAGGCTGGTCCTTGGAGATGGGGAAGAAACGGCGGTTGAAGCTATCGGCTACTAGAACTGCCTGGAGGGGCGGCGGCGGTTCCTCCTCCGTACCTTGGGTTCCACCGCCGCCCGGGCCGCCCCCGCGTTTGTTCGCTCGGCCGGCCCCAAAGCCAGGCACTGCCGCAGTGGCTGCCATCTTGCTTCGCAGCCAGCACGTCCGCGGGGAAGCGACACGGAACGCAGTAAGGGACAAAAAGGACTCGCCGTCAAAACGCGAAGGTGTGACTGCAGGGAGAGAAAGAGGATAGAGTGCGCATGTGTGTACCAGCAGATTCCCAACCACCCCGGTGCAAGGCCTGAGCCGGGGCGTGGCTGACCGTCCTAGTTCAGCAGCAACTGGCGGTACTTGGGAGTGCACGCGACAAGGAGGGGTGAGATCCCACCACTGTCAAACTCGGTCAGCGAGTGCTGTTGGATTGGACAAGCTAAGATGGCAGAGAGCTGGATAGGCTTGTGATCTCCGGCCAGGAGCCTGCAGGTTTTCTGTCCAGAGCATAGTAACATTTGTAGTTCTCGGGGACTGGAGAGATCGCTCATCGGTTAAAAGCACTTATTACTCTTCTTGCAGAGGATCCAACCAGGGCTCACAACTATCCACAATTGCAATTCTAGGATGTCCGACACACTTTCGACTGGGCACTGAATGCCTGTGGAATACAAACAAGCTGGCAAAAACACTCATCCACCTAAATCTAAAAGTAAAATGTAGTTCTCCACTTGCAGTCTAGTAATCTAAGGGGATCTGGCATCTTTGGGAGGGAAACCACGATCTGCACAAGTTTTTACTGAACACGATTATGGGCTAGGTCGTCCCCACATACCACCCTACCCAGTGCTGGAAATACAATCTAGAGCAACTGGCATTTCTTAGACACTTAAATCAGACCAAGGAGGCACGTGCAACTAGTGAGTGGAAAAACTGGTGCTGGGGGTCATCTGACTCCACAGTTCCACAAGCGTTATCACAGATGAGGCTGCATCTAAGAGCAGCAGTAAACTGAGTAGGACTGGGGCGCAGGAGCAAGCTTTTCAGGCTGGACGCTGAAGCGGAGCAGCAGGTTTTGGGAAAAGAAGCTGTGGCCGCAGTTTATAAATCAAGTTAAGGCGGAGGAAGCAATGGCACGCAGCCTGGGCGTAATCCTGTCAAGCCAAAAATTCCAGTAAGTAATCTGTGCCGGTTCAGCACCATAACCTCTGCTAATCCCACAGCCCTCAGGTTTCGGCTACTCCCTCTGTTGCTTCCACCTACCTCCCGCAGATGTTCTCGCGCAGAGAGTAGTTACTCTGTGTTTCTAGTGTGTCACAACACTTTAGATTCCTCGTGGAATCCAGAAACCTGTCATTTATTTCTTCACCCAGTTAATGAGGGTGCTATAAGGACAACATTTGCTTTCGAAAACGTTAGTACAGAGAGGGAAAAACTTAGTAAAAATTTTCAATTAAATCAATATAGTACAGGTCACCTAAGGGCGCATGCTTCCAACACCAACTGAGACAGGAGATCACAAGTGAGATCTGTAGCAAGGCCTCGTGACAACTGATCAAACAGGTAGACAAATACGACCAAAATAAAATAATGTATAAACGTACGTTTGGGGGACTGTTTGGTTGCGCTAAAGATCTACACGGAGAAGAAAAATGTGCACTTACGGGAACTTCTCATGCATACAGACTTTCGCCCACACAGGGCTCCCTGAAATGCTGGATGTGGAATTCCGTTGTTTGTGAAATTGGGTAACACTGCCCCCTAGAGATCAGTGTGATGCAATGCGCCTTCATCAATTCCCAGAGTTTATGTCATAGACTTTATGGCAAACGAAGTCTTTTTTTTTTTTCTTTTTGAGATACGGTCTCACTACATAGCCCTGGTACCTATATACTCACTGTATATACCAGGCTGGCCTCCAACTCACGGAGACCCACCCGACTCTGCCTCTCGAGTGCTGAGACTAAAGACGTGGGCCACCATGCCCAGCCTATGAAGTCATTTTTTATCTGGAGGTTTTCTGGACTGTGGAGTAGGAACCAGCCACATCTATGGTGTATATGGAGGTCAGAGGACTTGTGGTGAAGGATTTTTTTTTTCTATTCTGAGATTTAGACTCAAAGACAAGTAGAGCTTCTTGAAGAGATTAGAACACATAGAGACAAGGTTCCTGAGACAGCATTGCCCAGAGAAAGAAATGATGACCCAGTAAGCCAGCCCAGGGTCTCCAGTCCACAGGGGTCAGGAGTTACAGGTGTAGTGTGAAGTTGTGCCTGGCTTTCTGGTTATCTAATTGTCCCCAAGGGATGTGTGTTCTGTGGGAGGGAAGGACATAGACTGTCCTTGCTGGTTCAGTACTGTCCCAGTTTTATCTTTGAACATCCTGAGTCCTGGACTGAGGAAATCCTGAGTCCCTGGTACACTGGAGTGTTTTGGTGGCAACTAGGCCTCAGTAATTTGGTGTGGGAACTCCCTCCTACACACATAATTAGTAGAAATGGCCAGCCCTTCCCAATGCCTGCACAATATATAGGTCACAGGAAAGCAACACTATGATGCTTACTGGGAAATGTCAGTGATGGAAGAAAAACAGCCTTAATATAGCAAGAAAGAGAGTATGTTATCTAAAGGGAACAAAACTTAGACTGTCCTCACTAAAGCCAAGGTGGAACCCAGCAGGATACACTGGCAATACAGGTCTAAGAGGTAAAAGCTCCTTAGGTCAAGAGGACAGAATGAATCTCTATCCTGGATGGAGTCCTAACATTCCAGTTCAATAACTTGGCCAAGGAACCATCCCTGGAAAAGTTGGGCTTTCTTTCCTTAAGCCACACTAAAGAGATAGGTCAGATAATTTCCCCCTTGATGAGATACTGTGCCTTTTCTTTCTCTGATTCTTGGCCCCAATTCAGCCCCTACAAGTCAAGCAGTCATGAAGAAAGGCCCTTTTTATTTTTCTGACTTTTTCAGATACTGGCCAAAAACTAAAGATATTTTCTCTGGTACTCTGGCTTCTCTCTCTCTCTCTCTCTCTCTCTCTCAAGCCTCCCTCACACCCACTTGGCTGTCTGTTCACTGTGGATCTGACCATCATGAAGACTCTATGGCTTTTCTCCTCTCCCCCACCTTCCTCCAGCAGGCGGTTAATGGGCTTTACAGCTTGCCCACCCTGGTGTTTTTCTTTTAAACTCTAATTAAATTGTCCTTGAGCTTCTGTTGGAGTCCATTCTTGTTGGTAAAAGTGCCATCAAGACCTAATGACCTGAGATTAATCCCTGGCTGACGTGGAGGAAGACGAGAACTGACTCCTACAAGTTGTCTTCTGACCTTCAGTAGTACTCATATACATTCAAAAGATAAATAAATGAATAAATAATGTGCTGGGGTTTGGTCCATTGCTATGTATTGTAATGCTAAATACTGCCCCCCAAGGTCTGGTTGCCCCGGGGTTGAGGGAATCCTCAAGTAAACCAAGTGATGCTATGTAACCTTGCTCCTTAATTTAAAACTATTGGTTGAATAAAGATGCCTACAGCTATGGCTGGGCACAGTTTTGGTCCAGGGCTTGGGGTCTGAGGCAGGACCATGAGGGAGAAGCAGGAGAAGGTGGAGAGAGGAGAAGACACCATGGGGTGGTTGATAGGTTATTTCTCTGCCAGTGAGATGAACTAATTCAAGCCAGATTAGATTATATTAAAGGCAGGTTTATTGGGAAGCTGCTCTTGGGTAGTTCACTGGCCCCAAGGATTGAGGCCAGGGGAATTGAAAGTGCCGTGGCGGGAGAAGAGAGAGAAAGAGTGTGCTAGAAGAGAGAGAAAAGAAGAAGAGAGTAGGGGAGACCAAATTGTCTGAATTATATAGGAAAAAGCTTCTGGAAGAAGGGCAGCCCAGGCTCTGGGCTGGAAAGTTTAAGGTTGGGGACAGGGCATACAAGGTAGGGACTGAGGGGTGCTGGAAGAATCTGGAAGCCAGGCCTGCTTGATACGTAAAATATGCACCTTAAGCCCTTGCCCCAGGGTCCAAACCCAAACACAGATGGATCATGAAAACATGGCCACGAGGCCATCTTGGTCTGTGTAGTGAGTTCCAGGCCAGTCAGAGTTATATAGGTTGGAGAAAGGAGGTACATGGATTGGAGGAAGGAGCTGAGATAAACACCATGAAACTGTAGCAGAAATGTTCCCAAGTGTAGAGAAATACATAGACATCCAAACATAAGAGGCATTAGAACCCCAAGCAAACAAGACCAAAGCACACAGCATACTCAAGATGTCCAGAACACAAAGCTAAGAAACGATACTAAAGTTGTAAGGGAAGATGCTGACTCACTTAAAAAAGCAGAAGTGTCAGAGTAAGGTCTTTTGTCAGAACCCTCAAAGCTAGGAAATCATGGAATGCTTTATTTCCAGCCCCTAAAGCAGCTAAATGCCAATCAAGAGTGGTATATCAGTGCTGCCTTTCAAAGTTTACAGAGAATTAGGATATTTCAAGACGGTACTGACTAAGGCCCACTGACCCAGCTTTATAGACGATATTTAAAGGAGCACTGTGTCACGGGACTAAGAAAGGCAGTCAAGGATTAGACAGCATAGGAAAGCATACGTTTGATAAAGGCAATGGCAGAAGTAAGAACAAGGGAGGACCCCATTGCTTCCAATACAGTAACTGTTAAATCCCTCACACTGATAAGGCAAAGAACAAACAATAATAAAACAAACCATAAACAAGTCAAATGATAGAGATTAGCTGCAGTGTAGACAAGAATGACCCCACAGTGTCACTGTTTGAATGCTTGGTTCCCAGAAAGCTGTTCCGGAAGGAGTAGGAGGTATAGGCTTGTTAGAGGCTTGTCACTGGGGGCAGGCTTTGAAGTTTCAAAGACCTTGCTATTTCCTACAAGTTTAATTTTTTCAAACTTTATTTTTAATGATGGTTTTAACATGCTTTAACTTCTCTGTTAGCCCACCACCCACTGGAGGTAGTGGGAAAGAAAGGATATGGAGGAAGTGAACCTCTTTAGAAAGATTTTTTTGGAGCAACTCCTATCTGGAAATTGGCAGTTCAATTCATAGGTTAGTGTGGTGAAAATTTAGAGGCCGCCACAGCGGTGGGGCCCCGGAGGGGTTTCCACACTGTGGCAGGTCCCACATTCGGGAGGAACCCTATAGTTCCAGCGGCCTACAGGCTTTGGCGGCGGCAGGCCCCAATAACACGAAGAAGTCCTTGGTTCCAAAATGGTTT